CCTATTTTGGGATTATGTTTAAGGATATAATCAAAAATGGACACAACTCTGGCATTGGTATCCATACTGCCTCATTGAAAGTGGTGGGCGTTGGCGTCGTATCCAACGACGAGATTGCCCTTGCTTTCCAGCTCCGTTAACAGCTTTTCTACTACCTGGCCTGGCGGGTTGGGGTGTTCATAAGATAGATATTGGGAGACAAAAATGAGGATTCTTTCAGATCGTTTCTCCAGCGTAACCGTCGTGGCGTCTCCTTCGCTGAAATTGTAAAGAAAAATTAAGTTAAAACTCTTTTTAGCGACGATACATGTTCTAACCTTTTCTCCGTAGGTGGTAGAGTAGGATATTTTTGAATATATAGTGTTCTTGGACCAGGGCTATGTCAACTTCAGTTTTAGTGAGGGATAGGAGAAGTTCGGCAGACGGAGTCGAATCCATCCCGTGCCGAAATTCAGTTTCCCCCATGAGCCTGAAGATATTCCTGGCCAGCAGTATCAACAGATACCTTGATAACCAGGCCTCCTCCATCTGTACTTGAACAGACTAATCGCCAGTTGTCCGTACAGAGATTGAGATTTTTTCCTAGTATTATCAGCATACGTGCCGTGTCTACCGAAAGTGGTGGCACCAATGCTGATAATACCTTTCTTCAGGGTATATCCTTCAGGGATGCAGCCGCTATTTCGCTTTCCTCCCAAAGTCCGCGAAAGTCATCTACTGCGGGTACAAGGAAGTTTTTAGACTCCTCGTTTTCGCAGCAAATGACCTTCATTCCTTCAGTGCAGCCCCTTAGGATCTTCCCCTAGAAAAACTAGCTCCTTCAGACGGTCCTCAATGAGCATTAAACGACTTTCGCTGATTTTGCCTTCCGGCTCAGTACGATCAATAACTGCTACACGGAGGTTGTCCGGGTACACAGTTTGGGAAAATTTCCTTTTTCTGCTGGTTCGAAGGTTGGGGTTTGGTAGATTCAGTTTTGGCTTTAGTAGACTTAAGTTCTACAGAAGCTTATTGAGTCGTAGCAACCATTACCTTCTTTTTAGATAGCGCAGCTGGTGGAGCCTCGGGTTGTGGTTCCTCTGTCGACCGTCCCCTCTTCATCGTTAAACGAGATGAGCTTTTGGTCTCATTCGGTTCCACCGAGGAATCGACTCCACCTTCATTGCCCATCATGATTTGTGGCATTTTGCGCGGTAAACCATATTTCGCACAGTAAACGAGGATGTCCCACCTGAATAACAGGAGAGTGTTACAGTTCGCCAGACTTAACCATTGTGTCACCCGGTCTGATAAATGACGTGACTTGGCAACCCGTCATTTCTATTACCTTAGACCATCTTCCGATAATCCTCTTAATCAGCAGATCTCTGAACGCCGCACTTTTCTTAATCATGGAAAAGCATATTGGCCTGAGTTCAAAGATTACACAAACCTTCGCTCCAGATAACTATCCAACCCTTCTGATGTTCGGATAGCGAATTGGATTTTCCGGGACATAATCAAAGCTGCAGCCGCTCGCTATATACCTGCTGGTCGTATATCCGAAGTAAGACCAAATTTCCCATTAGAAGCAGCGGGATTAGCGAAAGAGCGTGATGAGGTCCAGCCCTACTGATGCCCGAGTCAGTGAACTGACAGTGGAAGTCAACAGGCTGGTCACAACACAAAAAATAATTGGACAACACAAAAAATAATTTTTCATCAAGATAACGCTCCAGCGAATAAGAGTGTTGTAACAATGGCTAAAGTCAACGAATTAAAGTACGAGTTGCTTAACCACCCACCTTATTCTCCTGATTTAGCTCCCAGTGACTTGTTACTTGTTCGCAAAACTAAAAAAATGCCTTGCTGGCAAGCGCTTTACCTCAAATGAAGATGCAATTACAGTTGTAAACCACTATTTTGAAGAACTTAAGGAAAACTATTTTAATCAAGGTATAGAATTGATAGAAAAGCGTTGGATTAAGTGTATCGAAGCTTCAGGAGATAATATTGAAAAATAAAAATATTTTTGAACAACTAACTATTCTCTTTCATTGATAGTTTCCGAACCGCCCTCGTATATGTGTGGACGCCAGTCTTACGTGGAATTCCGGAAAAATAAGTCCAAGCCCCGTAGAGTGAAACAAGGAGTTCCCCAACGTTTGGAGATATCTCCGGAATTGTTTAACCTCTACAGAGAAATCCAGAAATCCGCGCCCTCCAGACGGCATCGAGATCGTAACACATGCGGATGACTGTACGATCATGGCGTCGGGTCCTATAGTTGATGACATATGTGTCAGAGTGAACAGCTATCTCGGGGAGTTTGCAGCCTTCTTCCATGTGAGGAATATGAAAATATACGCCACCAAATCAACGACCACACTATTTACCACATGGAGCTGTATGTGCCGGTCGAGGGGCACATAATTCCGACCACTAGCTATCCCAAAATCCTTGGGTTCATGTTCGACATCATGTTCAAGTCGTCCGCGCAAGTCACAGCTATCTGCGATAAATTGAAAAGTAGGAAAAAGGCCCTCAGGGCGCTAGATAATAAAGAAACCTTGTTGACAGAACTTCCGCACCCAGGCGTGTCAGGAAGGAGAGAGAGAGACCGAGGTCCAGCGATATAAGAGAGAGCCTATAGATCATGATGCCTATCAAGCGGGTCTGAATAGCATTCATACTGATGCAGTCGCAGACGTAGTTAACAATTACAGTATGAAAGCCATCCTCGGAGTCCACCCCTATCCACAGCTCAAGAACGTCGGCTGCCTAAGCAAACCAGGGTAGTTTTGGCCCAACTACGTTCAGTATGGTGCAGCTGCCTCAATTCATATTGAGCATGAATTTAGGCGAAATATCATTACTACTCCTTACGCCTCTCATTTCTCATCATAGCTTTACCACAAATCCTATATATATAAAAAATGCTCCTGTTATCATCCGCAGGTCGCTTGCGCGATTAAAAGTATGCAAGATCTATAAACACCCACGCCGACTTCACTACGTCAGTTTCCAAGCAGGCATTCTCTGGGGTTTTGTTTAATACCCACGGTAATGGTGGTATTGTAATTTATCGGAAGTTACTGTCTTGCTTTGCCGTGTATTGTTTCAGCTACTGAGTCTGTATTGTATTGATGCATTTTCATGTTAGAAAGATAGTGGTCGTATCTTTACTGTTATCGCAGGTGAATTATTATCTGGAATTCATCTCTGGCACCTTTTATTCAATTGCTCGTTGCGTAGTGATCATTTTTAGTTTTGCTAATGACTCCTGGGATTGTCATTTAACAACTATGATGATCTTCGCATTCTTCAATGTCATAATAATGATGTGCAATGTTGACTTAAATCTTTGAGATAGGTTTGTATTTGGTATGTCATATCGTAATACATATACATATGAATTATATATGAAACAGCTGATACATCTACGCACTCGTGTTCCATTACATTATATATATTGTTGCGTAATGTACTAATTGTAATGTGAATGAAAACTGAACATGGTCTCCCACTGAACATGACCATACGAAGACTTGTTTAGCATAGGCGCATGTGAATTGACGAGCTTGCACTTAACGCCGAAAATGAGGCGTACATGCAGTTGCTGTATAGAAGTTCAACCTAATATATGTTTAGAAGTGAACATAAAAGTATATTGAGTTTATTGAAGTGAACATGAAGTCTGTTTTGTTAGTAAGTTTAAAATAAGAGAAACCTTGTGAACTACGTTAAGTTTTGTGTTACTTTATTTAATTTAATAATATGAACCGAAATTTAATCAATAATAAACATTACAATAACAATAATAAACAATTTAACATTTACCAAGGTGTTTCAATCAAACTGATAGGTTACCAAGCCTTCATGTATATGAATTAAAACAAGCAATTATCATCGTTCTGAGTTACAACCAAGCTATTATTATAGCTATTTTGAAATATTAACAATACAATGGAAAAAACAAGTTCTTAAGTAGCATGAACCCCAGAGGTAATCGCGAGCTTAATTATGAAATCTCCATTAAAAAAAATATCAAATAGAACTCTGTAAGTTATGATGCGAAATTGCACATTTTCAGCTGACGAAACGAATCGAAAATTTTATCCTTACAAATTTAAAATATCGACCAAGAATTCAATTTTAAAATAAAATTGATTAGATTAATCTACAAAACTAAAATTATCTAAAATGCGTACGTAAATATACGTACACACTTATATATAGTATACACAAAAAATCTAACTTTGTAAATATGTGCCGAACAATGCAATTTTTACTAAGAATTTATGCTCATGTTATATTTGTTGTTAAATTTTATTTTATTTTTCCATTACGAACATGAGATCACAACACAAATGTGACGAAACTAATTGTGATAGCATTCGTAGAAAATAGAATGCCAAATGTACTGTTTTTGTTTTTTTCCAAATTATTATACCCTCCACCGTACATAGTATGGAGGGTATATTAAGTTCGTCATTAAGTTTGTAACTCATCGAAATAATCATTTTAGACATAACAAAGTATACATATTCTTGATCAGCGTAAAATTTTCCGTGTGTTGTAATCACGCTAGAGTAAAAAAAATGAATAAAGATAGGAAGCTAAAATTTTGCATAGATCAGTTTTTGTTTGCAGGCAGTTTAACTCCTCCAAATAATAAGTGGCAAATTAAAAAAGTTGATTTTATAAAATTTATTTAACATTTTGTAAAAAATCGGTTTAGATGGCCATTTCTGGCCTTTGATATTGGACTATCAACTCGAATAAGGAGAAGAAGCTCTTATTTTGTTAAAAAAAAAAACGCAAAAATTGATGTTGAAGCCTTATAAGGAACAATAATTTTAGCCTTTTTATTTATTGCACTCCAGTAATATTGATTCAACTCAGTATTATTTGTAATATTCCGATTGTTTCAAAGGCCTTGTGAGGCCTCCGATAGATTTAGGACTAAAATTTTTAGATTTACACACTATTAATTTGCTCTTCTGTTTGAATTCAAACAGGTATACAAACTGGATTCTGGATTGTTCTTGTCTGGAACATCGGAAATGGCCTTAGCTGGTTTTTTTGAAAACTATATGCTTGAAGAAAATGAACTTCCATTAAAAGTTGCAGCCGTAACCCGTTGCTTTAGAGCAAAAACATCTGAAAAAAGAAACGTAACCAAGAGGTTAAAGCAAAACTAGACAATAAAATTGCTAATTTGTAATTGAAACAATAAACATTTACAATAAATAGCATAAAGGTTTCTATAAATCGACGCTCCTTAAACAGTCACAAACGAAGGAAGCCCAATTATAAGTAAGAAGAAATGTGATGTTGTAGATGTGTCCAGTGTAATTCGGGTATTAATCCATTCTTCTAATAAGATGTTCGTCAGTTTGTTCCCGAAACAATCCAATTAATAGATGAATTTTTATACCCTCAGAATATATTAAGCATTTTCGACCCAACAAAGTATATATTCTTTATCAGTATAAGACTCTACGTCGATTTGGCTCAGTACAGATCCACGCCTTTGTATAGCCCCCATATAACGGTACCTCCAAATATTCAGTACTTTATGAATTTTTGGCTAAAATTTTCAACAGAATTATCTCTGGCGCATAATTGTCTGTAGAGATCCACGTTTTCGTATAGCCCCATAAACTGTAATATATGATAGTCAGAATTTTTGAAATTATAGTGACATTTTTCAACAGGTATACAAACTGGATTCTGGATTGTGCTTGTCTGGAACATCGGAAATGGCCTTAGCTGGTTTTTTTGAAAACTATATGCTTGAAGAAAATGAACTTCCATTAAAAGTTGCAGCCGTAAGCCGTTGCTTTAGAGCAGAAACATCTGGATTAACAGAAGAAAAAGGTATATACAGGTAAGAACACATTGTAAATACATATTTTATTGATTTGGAATGGCTCAAAACGAGGCCAGGGATAAGTTGCAAACAGTTTAAATTTACCCAATTCAATGGAAAAAGCAATAAGCTTTTTATGAAGAAAATCATTAAGATCAATTAAAATAGTGGTATATTTGGCATCAACTGCAATAAGCCACCGACCTTTTTAACAACACGATATTTTTTAATATTTAATATTTCGTTTTTAACGAAGTATAGGAGAAACCCACAACACTTTTCTAAAATCAGTATGTAAACGGGTTGACTTTGTGTTAAGCCCCCTTACATACTGATAGCAAGTGGGAAATGAGTGAATTAGTTTTTTTTTTGGGAAATAAAACTGGTCTTAGAGACAAGTGTGCTAAATCAGATCTTTCCAGAAATATATATAATAATTTATATCTTCAGCCGTTGTTTCTGGTGCAAACCTGGACGCAAATACCATTTTCATGACAGGAGCCATGGATAATTGTCTTTGTTGTTGTAGCAGTTTTACATGTTCCGTTGTTTTTTCTGACTAATCCGGTTCTTCCTCAATGTCCAGGTTTAGGAATTCTGCTACCTTTATGGGCTGTAGCCATAGATCCTCTGGACGGAGTTGGGTAGGTTTGGCTGGACAATTAAACAAGTGCAGCGTGTTGTGCGGGCCTGTATCGCACGCTGGGCAGGCGTTCCGCACATCCTCATCAATTCGTGCCCAATACGAATTGAGACGGCTGCACCATCCTGAACGTAGTTGGGCCAAAACTACCCTGGTTTGCCTAGGCAGCCGACGTTCTTCAGCTGCAATGGATGGGGGTGGACTCCGAGTATGGCATTCATACTGTAATTATTAACTACCTCTGCGACTGCATCAGTATGAATGCTATTCAGACCCGATTGATAGGCTTCATGATCTCCCCTGGGTGGGTGAGTTCTATCCACCATATGGTGGTTAGGGTGACTCCCACGATAACACCCAAGCAGGTACTGCAACGAAAGCATATGATTATGCTGACGTAAGGGAAGAACCTTCGTCTCCTCATGTAAATGGTCCACAGGAGTCATGAGGAGGCATCCTGTTGCAGTTCTCAGGGCGGCATTCTGGCAGGTCTGAATACTTTTCCACTGCGTTGCACTTGTATTCGCCGACCACACTGGACCCGCATAGCTAACCACAGACCGACCTATCGCTTTATAAGAGGTCAACAAGGTTTCCTTATCCGCACCCCAAGTGCTGCCGGCTAGCGCCTTGAGGACCTTGTTCCTACTTTTCATTTTATCGCAAATAGCTGTGGCTTGCGCGGAAGACTTGAACATGCTATCGAACGTAAATTATGGTCGGAATTATATGCCCCTCGATCTGCACATTCAGCTGTGTTCTCATCTCCGCAGTCCATGTGGTAAATAGTGTAGCCGTGGATTTAGTGGCGGATATTCTCATATTCCTCGCGTGGAAGAAGGCGGCAAGCTCCGCGAGATAGTTATTCACCCTGACACATATGTCATCAACTACAGGACCCGACGCCATGATCGTACAATCATCCGCATAAGTTACGATCTCGATACCGTCTGGAGGGCGCGGAATTCCGGAAAGGTAGAGGTTAAACAGTTCCGGAGATATCACCCCACCTTGGGGAACTCCCTGTTTCACTCTACGAGGCTTGTACTTCTTATTCCGGAATTCCACGTACGACTGGCGTCCACACATATAGTTGACTATCCAACGTTTCAAACTTGGCCGGAGGGTAGTGTTCTCAACGTCCTCGAACAGCGTGGCATGGTTGACCGTATCAAAGGCCTTTGAAAGGTCGAGAGCCACCACTACTGTTCTGTGGGACGGCCTGTTCTGGTTGAGTCCTCGACTGATATGTGTGGATATGGCGTGCAATGCTGTTGTAGTGCTATGTAGTGGACGGAAACCGTGTTGATGGTTAGCAACTGAATAGCTTCCTCTGATACTGGGGAGGAGTAAGGCCTCGAGAGTCTTTGCTACTGGCAACAAAAGCGAAATTGGCCTGTATGATTCGCCTTTGCCAGGCTTCAGTAGCGGGACCACCCTGCCCATTTTCCTGGCTTCGGGAACTATGTGGGTAGCTAACGACAAGTTAAGGACTTTGATTAAATGCTCAACTTCCGGCGTATCCAGTTGCTTCAACATTACCATTGATATTCCGTCCGGGCCCAACGCTTTAGATGACTTAGCGTTTCGGATGACATTCGCAACATCACCCATCGTAAACTGTGGAGGTACATCCTCGGCGGGAAGAGCTCTTATACGACGTAGTACTCTTCGCCTCGCCCTATCACTCTCGGGGTGCTCGACACATTGGCGGTTAAAACAGCCAGCGCACCTCTTCGGATCAGTCACAGTTACGTCGTTAAATGTGACTGCTGTCCTATCATCCTTTTTTCCAGGGTTCGAGAGTGACTTTACCGTTACCCACAGTTTACTCAAATCGGTTCCAATGTTGCAACACTTCAGATGGTCTAGTCACTTTTTCCGCTTATGCTCCTGTACCAACCGGTTGACTTCCACTGTCAGTTCACTGACTCTGGGATTAGTAGGGTTGGTACGTCGGAGCTCATCACGCTCATTCGCTAATACCGCTGCCTCTGCTGGGAAATTTGGTCTTACTTCGGGTATTCGACCAGCAGGTATATAGCGAGCGGCTGCAGCTTTGATGGAAATCCTTTCAGCTACCCGAACATCAGAAGGATTGGGCAGTTCTCTGAAGCGAAGTTCGTGAACTCTCTGAACTCGGGCCAGTGGGATTTCCCATGGTTAAGGAAAGTGCGGCGTTCAGAGGTTATGAAATCGGGCGATCTGCTGATGGAGACGATTATCGTGAGATGGTCTGAGCCAAGAGAAATGACGGGTTGCCAAGTCACGTCATTTATCAGACCGGGTGACAGTTTGGTTAAATCTGGCGAACTGTGACACTCTCCTCTTATTCGGGTGGGGGCATCCTCGTTTACCGTGCAAAATGTGAATCAGTCAATCTACTCTGCCAACGCTGACCCCCTCTGGTCATTACCTAGGGCGGAATGCCACTGGATTCTGGATTGTGCTTGTCTGGAACATCGGAAATGGCCTTAGCTGGTTTTTTTGAAAACTATATGCTTGAAGAAAATGAACTTCCATTAAAAGTTGCAGCCGTAAGCCGTTGCTTTAGAGCAGAAACATCTGGATTAACAGAAGAAAAAGGTATATACAGGTAAGAAGAACACATTGTAAATACATATTTTATTGATTTGGAATGGCTCAAAACGAGGCCAGGGATAAGTTGCAAACAGTTTAAATTTACCCAATTCAATGGAAAAAGCAATAAGCTTTTTATCAAGAAAATCATTTAGATCAATTAAATTAGTGGTATATTTGGCATAAACTGCAATAAGCCATCGACCTTTTTAACAACACGATATTTTTTAATATTTAATATTTCGTTTTTAACGAAGTATAGGAGAAACCCACAACACTTTTCTAAAATCAGTATGTAAACGGGTTGACTTTGTGTTAAGCCCCCTTACATACTGATAGCAAGTGGGAAATGAGTGAATTAGTTTTTTTTGGGAAATGAAACTGGTCTTAGAGACAAGTGTGCTAAATCAGATCTTTCCAGAAATATATATAACTAGCTGGCCCGGTCCGCGTTGCCGGCCCGTAGTTTTTGTCTATTATGCATATTTGTCAAAGCATAATTATTCAAAGATATGAATGATATAAGTGTTCGCGTACTTGTCGATTAAAAGGCTTTTTAAATACCTGTACCCATATTTAAGCCGTGGGCTTCAATATTTAAACCGTGGACTTCAAAGGTGTGGATGTGCTATACAAATCTATTAAAATGTATATATCAATCTAATCCCCATGTAAGGGATCAAATTAATTTTTAGTATGGTAAAAATCGTAGCATAATTTTCCATTCAAATGAGCAGTAATTTGGAATTTACTGTATTTTGTACACCTCATAATTGAGGGTTGAATGAATTAAGAATAGCCAAAGTAAATTACTTTTTTAAAGCCATTAGCACCTCAGATTGTCCATTAGAGTTCTTATAAGTCCCTCTAACCATGTCGGTCTGTTTGTCCGCCAAAAAGTGGACTTGAGGGGGTACTATTATATGGAAAAAAAATCCTAAAATTTGTAGATATGTTCAAATTTTTGTGTAAGATTTTCACCCCCAAATACACATTTTTAGCCAAATCCTTTGAAATATGGTAAAATCAGGAGGTACTTTTATATGGGCACTACTCCGAGACATCGACCTATATTGAAAACATTCTTCTAGCCCTTATAATCCAATCTGACAAATAGAGACCAAATCAAAAATATAGCAGAACAACAACAACTGAAAAAAATTTCGCGTGATTTAAATGAGTAAAAATAGTTTTATCCACCATATTTTTCATCATAGTATAATTCAATGACGATTCAACAAATATTCGGTCCCGTGCTAATTTCATATATTTGTAATTTGTTCATGTTTCCACAATTTATTTCATATAGATGTATATCCCAAATATACGTTTCCAACCAATATTGTCTTGGGGGTTACAAATCCAATAGAATACAAAATTTTATTTTCTGACCACACATTATATGTGAAAGTGGACTTGGGTATACTCCAATGTGGGGACTTTACTTAAATAAATTCCTATGTGGCAATTATCTGGATGATGGTTCCCTAACCCCTTAGAGACAATGATGCCAAATATGGGCCAAGCAATGAAAAAAGTGGCCAAGACCCCAAAAATAGCTTAAATCATATGATGGTTATATAAATATGAAATCGGGATGTACCCTTATCGTGAGTTATGATCGATATCATGACCTGCAAAAGTGGTTTAAGGTATCTTGAATGTTTGTGAAGAATTTCTGGAAGGATAGAAATCCTTTTCTTACTAAGAGTCTAATTCGCTCTACTATTTTCCACCCTTTATATTTGGTATTTTACTGATTGTACTCCCAAAGAATTTTGCATTGGACGGATTATTGTCACATGAAAGAAGTAGGTCCACGCTTTGAAATGAGCTCCATTTGGCTTTTTCTGTCATTTTTGGTTGTTTAAATGTGTTCGCATCTTCCATCTGAACCACGATGTCGGCCCTGTAATCGAAAATTAGATGTCAGTTAACATCGTATTTCGCACTTATTTCATTTTTTTTTTGGTGAAAAATTGTATATAGTGAAAAATTATTCTTTATTTTGTCCACAAAAAATCCATTGAATTCAATATGATAATACAAATTGAAAAAAATGACAAAAGAAGAATAACAAATTGAAAAAATCTTCAACCTGTTCGCTGATTTATTACAGCAAATGTTTAAAGACCCTTACTATCATTTTAAAATTCGATTCCACTGAAAATTTTTTCGATTTTTTCCCGATTTGAGAATTTTTGCAATGAGATCTCTTTTCCGTGATTTTTTTAGCGATTTTGACAAAGTAATTATTTTTTAATTAATAATTATCTTTCTTTTGGTGTGACCGCGTTAAATTATTTCGATATCATCTATTCCGTTTCGCCACCATATAATTCGGTACTACGCTTCCATGTAACCCGCCATCAAATAAAATATAAAAAACACTACAAATGTACATTAGAAAAAAGTAAGTCAAAATGGAAAAAAATCATACAAAATAAAACATTACTATTGTACATTTGAAAAGTCAAAATGAAAATGTTAATATATCACATTTTTACGCGATTTTTCTGGATATTATCCTTTTCGGAGAGGAGACAACTCCGAATTTGTGTGAATCGTTAAAATCAGTCCAGCTGTTCCTAAGTTATAAGCGTAGTAACTAACACAACTTACATTTATATATATAGATAATTTATATCTTCAGACGTTGTTTCTGGAGCAAACCTGGACGCAAATACCATTTCCATGACAGGAGCCATGGATAATTGTCTTTGTTGTTGTAGCAGTTTTACATGTTCCGTTGTTTTTTCTGACTAATCCGGTTCTTCCTCAATGTCCAGGTTTAGGAATTCTGCTACCTTTATGGGCTGTAGCCATAGATCCTCTGGACGGAGTTGGGTAGGTTTGGCTGGACAATTAAACAAGTGCAGCGTGCCCAATACGAATTGAGACGGCTGCACCATCCGGAACGTAGTTGGGCCAAAACTACCCTGGTTTGCCTAGGCAGCCGACGTTCTTCAGCTGCAATGGATGGGGGTAGACTCCGAGTATGGCATTCATACTGTAATTATTAACTACCTCTGCGACTGCATCAGTATGAATGCTATTCAGACCCGATTTATAGGCTTCATGAACCTTCGTCTCCTCATGTAAATGGTCCACAGGAGTCATGAGGAGGCACCCCGTTGCAGTTCTCAGGGCGGCATTCTGGCAGGTCTGAATACTTTTCCACTGCGTTGCACTTGTATTCGCCGACCACGCTGGACCCGCATAGCTAACCACAGACCGACCTATCGCTTTATAAGAGGTCAACAAGGTTTCCTTATCCGCACCCCAAGTGCTGCCGGCTAGCGCCTTGAGGACCTTGTTCCTACTTTTCATTTTATCGCAAATAGCTGTGGCTTGCGCGGAAGACTTGAACATGCTATCGAATGTAAATTATGGTCGGAATTATATGCCCCTCGACCTGCACATTCAGCTGTGTTCTCATCTCCGCAGTCCATGTGGTAAATAGTGTGGCCGTCGATTTAGTGGCGGATATTCTCATATTCCTCGCGTGGAAGAAGGCGGCAAGCTCCGCGAGGTAGTTATTCACCCTGACACATATGTCATCAACTACAGGACCCGACGCCATGATCGTACAATCATCCGCATAAATTACGATCTCGATGCCGTCTGGAGGGCGCGGAATTCCGGAAAGGTAGAGGTTAAACAGTTCCGGAGATATCACACCTCCTTGGGGAACTCCCTGTTTCACTCTACGAGGCTTGGACTTCTTATTCCGGAATTCCACGTACGACTGGCGTCCACACATATAGTTGACTATCGTTTCAAACTTGGCCGAAGGGGTAGTGTTCTCAACGTCCTCGAACAGCGTGGCATGGTTGACCGTATCAAAGGCCTTTGATAGGTCGAGAGCCACCACTACTGTTCTGTGGCACGGCCTGTTCTGGTTGAGTCCTCGACTGATGTGTGTGGATATGGCGTGCAATGCTGTTGTAGTGCTATGTAGTGGACGGAAACCGTGTTGATGGTTCGCAACTGAATAGCTTCCTCTGATACACCCTGCCCATTTTCCAGGCTTCGGGAACTATGTGGGTGGCTAACGACAAGTTAAGGACTTTGATTAAATACTCAACTTCCGGCGTATCCAGTTGCTTCAACATTACCATTGATATTCCGTCCGGGCCCAACTCTTTAGATGACTTAGCGTTTCGGATGACATTCGCAACATCACCCATCGTAAACTGTGGAGGTACATCCTCGGCGGGAAGAGCTCTTATACGACGTAGTACTCTTCGCCTCGCCCTATCACTCTCGGGGTGCTCGACAAATTGGCGGTTAAAACAGCCAGCGCACCTCTTCGGATCAGTCACAGTTACGTCGTTAAATGTGACTGCTGTCCTATCATCCTTTTTTCCAGGGTTCGAGAGTGACTTTACCGTTACCCACAGTTTACTCAAATCGGTTCCAATGTTGCAACACTTCAGATGGTCTAGTCACTTTTTCCGCTTATGCTCTGCGGGTGACAGTTTGGTTAAATCTGGCGAACTGTGACACTCTCCTCTTATTCGGGTGGGGGCATCCTCGTTTACCGTGCAAAATGTGAAGCAGTCAATCTACTCTGCCAACGCTGATCCCCTCTGGTCATTACCTAGGGCGGAATGCCACAACTCATGGTGGGCATTGAAGTCCCCTAGTATCAGGCGGTTATTGCCTTCCAAAAGTGGGCTTATATTAGGCAAGTAACGCGGTTCAAAGCTATTAACCGGCGGGATATACACATTAAGCACCTCTACCTCGGCAGTACCACACTTGACTGCTACCCCCATACACTCCATGTACGGGTCACTAGAGAATAGCTCAAGCGAGATAGGTCTGTATTGAACAGAATGGTGTAACAGGAACGCTAATCCCCCACCTCCACTTCTGGTGCGATCTTTCCTCAATACGTTGTAACCATTGCAGCGTTGTAAGCTACAATTTTCATTGAGCTTGGTTTCCTGCACCGCTGCGATCTTAATATTCCTCCGATTCATAAAATCCACTATCTCATCAATTTTACCT